GTGGCTTCGAACCAAGCTTGACATTCACTCTCTGCATAGCGTGCTAACTCCAAGGGATCCCTATCAATGCCTCTGGAAAGTTTATCATTCCTAGCCTTCCAGATGTACCAGATTAGCCAAGGATAAGGATCTCTGTCCAATTCCGGTTCCATTATCGCATTCTTCCTCCAGAAAAGATAATCCATATTTGTGTACGTGCTCAGTCCTGGAAACAGAACAGGATTGGTTGGCGTAGATGATAGTGCCCAAACTTGTACTGCAGGAGGGCATTCAAATATTGCATGATTGATCGTCTCCTCAGGTTCCCCACATCGAGGACAATGATTGAATGTGAATGTTATTTTATAAATCTTTTAAATAAACAGATTTATATCTTTCTTTTATTTTGATTATTTACTAGTACTCCCTCCGTTTCGAATTAGATGTCATTCTAGAGGAAAAATTTCGTTTCAAAATAAGTGTCGTTTTAGAGTTTCGAGACAAATTTATTATGTTTATATGATATTCTATTTTTCTATTGGTTGAAAAGTGGTTAGGTGTATTGGTAATTGTGTTTTTATATTGAAAATATGTAAAATTAAATGTTTCCTTAATCTGTGTATAAAAATCTAGAATGACAAATAATCTGAAACGGAGGGAGTACTATTTAGAAATATAAATATGAAATTTAATATTTTTTTTTGGTTTTTGTCAACAACTATAGTAAAAAAGTGAATGTATGCTCCTATTTATTTTTTTACAATTTTATTATATAATACGTAAGTTTGATTTCCAAGCTTAATGTAACTAATATTTCGTTAAATTTATACTATCCATATAATATTTGCTAATATAATAAAGATTTGTTGCAAAAATAACTCAAAACTCCAAGTCAAACACAAAAATAATTTTCTTTCTTTTGGAAATTTCATTTGCACAATGCACACAAACATGTCATTATTTTTATTTAACTTTTTTTGAAAACGACTGTTTTATTATCTCATCTTCATCTTCATCAATTAATCTTGAAAATGTCATCAATTCACCCAACAACCATAAATAACTAAAATAAAGCTTTTAATGCATATAAAAACAAAATTTACTCATTCCTTCTCATAATTTATGCCCAAAAACTACACATCTCTCACTTTCTAGCTATATTCATCCAACAAAATCCAAGCTTTTTAATTCTAAAGTTTTTGAGGGTCATATAACTATCCAAACTCACTATTTCTGGTCAATAATGATTGAGTAGATGTTCTAGTGAAGTTTTGTGGTCCTGGAGAATTAAGCAAGTTCTCTCAGGGCTTGAAGATATGAATTGTTTTTTTTTCCAGATTTGTTCGTTAGGAGACTTACTTTTGCAAGTCTTCGTAAGTCTTCTCATTCGAGAAGACTTTCTTGTCAAAGAATATGTTAATTTTGCAATTGAATTTTTGTGTATTTTTTAGAAAAGACTATGGTGGAAATTTCGAATTGTATTTGTTGGCAAAAAATTTTTGAGAAGACTTACCTGGAAGTCTTCTCGGATAAATATGTTAGTTTTGCAATTGACCAATATGTGTCAAAAATTTAACTTTCTACGAAAGACTTACCTGAAAGTCTTCTCAACCTAGAAGGATTACTTGGAAGTCTTCTCAACTTTTACATTAAGTGTACTGAAGTCTACGTAGGTTACTTTTGCAACTGAAATTTTAAACTTAAAAGCATTTAATTTAAATTGGGAGACTTCCAAGTAAGTCTTCATGGCGGAAGACTTACCTGGAAGTCTACGTGGAAGTCTTCCAAATTTTTATACTATGATTCTGGTCAAACGTAAGGTAAGACTTCTCAACAAAAGTCAAATATAGTCAATTGTAAAAGTAAACTACGCAGAATTCAGTAGACTTAATGTAAAGTTTGAGAAGACTTCCAGGTAAGTCTTCCATAGAAAGTAAAATTTCTGACACAGATTGGTCAATTGCAAAACTAACATGTTTATCTGAGAAGACTTCCAGGTAAGTCTTCTCAGATATTTTCGAGAATTTTTGTGTTAGAAAAGTAAGCCAATATTTACATAGGAAGACCTCCAGAGAAGTCTCCTATAGAGGAGACTTTTGTGAAAGTATTTCTTTTTAAATTTTCAACTTCAAAAAAGACCTAAACAGAAGACTTACCTCGAATTTTTTTTCCAGGAAACTTACCTGAAAGTCTTCTCCAGGAAGACTTCCAGGTAAGTCTTCTACGAAAATGTATAATAAACTTTCATTTTCTTCAATTTAAAATGAAATCTTAAAATTTTATTGTTAATTCATGTGTTTTAGACAATATTTGGGTCCTGAATAAAATTCATCACTTAATTGGTGAAAATTATGAGGTTACCAGCATTCATATTTTTTAATCTTTCTATCTAATGATAGACGACTTCCAAGGAAGTCTTCTCTGAGAAGATTTCTGTAGAAGTTTTCCACATTAGTTTTTGTAAACTTGTATTTTTAAGAATTTTCAGTAATTTAAAATAAGTTTTTAACTTTTAAATAATTTCAAGAAGTATATAATGTGTACATGAAAATGAAGTTGGAAGAGTTATCCAACTCATTATATCTTACTTGTTTATAATTATAAAATTTATTAGTTTTACTTCTTACAAGACTTTGTTGGTTTTACTTCTTAAAATTTTAAAGTGATGAAAAACTATTGTAAGTTAATGAGAAGAAATTGTTTATAGTTACAAATTTATATATATATTTTTTTCTGCAGAAAATGAGAGATCCAAAGATGAGAAGAACTACACAATGAGCATCATGTTTTGAATCTGTAGGCCAATGAAGTTTTTTATTTCCTTGATTTGTAAAAGTGGAAAACACATTGTTAGCACATATCTTACATCTTGTTTACTTTAATAATGTGAAATAATTTTGTATAATAAAAATATTTACCATATTTTTTATTACTATTTTTTTTATTTAAAAAAAAATCACAACTAAAGAGTACACATACAAATCACAAAACAGACAACAAATAAAACTTTATAGATCATTCCTCCAAAAAGACAATCTTGGATTATACTTGATATGAGAGAAGATTTCTAAGAAGACTTAAGACTACGCCAGAAAACTTAAGATTACATCAGAGGACTTAAGACTACGTCAGAAGATTAAGACTACGCCAGAAGACTTAAGACGTTGTCAGAAGACTTAAGACGACGTCATAAGACTTAAGAAAACATCAGAAGACTTAAGGCGACGTTGGAAGACTTCCAGAAAAGTCTTCTGAACGTCTTCTGTAAGTTTTCCGATGTCTGTTGCAGATCTAGAAAAGACTGCATATCCAAAAACATTCAAATGACATCAAAACAGAGAAAAATTCGAGAAACAATGGTTTTAAGCTTAAATAATATCTAAAACAATCATATTATGTTGAATTTATAACTTATTAGAATCTAGCATATTAAAAACACAAAAATACATATAAAAAATGTATAGTCCTACCCTTAAATGAGTGAAAGATGACAACTTTGTAATGAAAACCTACAAAAACAAAATAAAATAGTGAGAAACACATAAATTGAGAAACTGATATAATTTTTGGTGTTTTCATGTTTAAAGAGATTAAAAAGAGGTCGGAAAATTTTTGTTTGGAAAAAATATAAGAACTTTATGCAACAATAGAATACTAAATGAAGAAAATCAGACATGAAAACTTACCAAAACGCTCAGATCTATTGTGAAATAGGAGACATGGAAGAAGACTATGCCAGAAAACTTAAGATGACGTCAGAATACTTAAGAAAACATCAGAAGACTTAAGACGACGTCAGAAGACTTCCAGGAAAGTCTTCTGTAAGTCTTCCAGGAAAGTCTTCTGTAAGTCTTCCAATGTCTGTCTCGGATCTGAAAAAAAACTACATATCCAAAAACGTTCAAATGACATCAAAAGAGAGAAAAAAATCAAAAAAAAAAATTTAAGCTTAAATAATAACTAAAACTATCACATTATGTTGAATCTATAACTTATTAGAATCTAATATATAAAAGACACAAAATACATATCAAAAATTTATAGATGAACCTTTAAATGAGTGAAAGATGACATCTAATGAAAAACCTGCAAAATTAAGATATTATAGTGAGAAAAACATACAAATGAAAAATTGATATAATGTTTGGTGTTATCAAATTCAAATAGTTTAGAGAGAGGTTAGAGAATTTTAGAGTGAGAAATATTACATTTTTGTTGCCTCCATTTGAAAAGAGAATGTGTAAATTTTTATTTATATAGGAAGACAAAAATTCCAATTAGGTTAAATATTTTGATACAGAAGACTTTAGAAGACCTTAGAAGACTATTCACCCAGAAGACTTACTATTCGCCCAGAAGACTTACTATTTGAACAGGAAATAGTAAACTATGGAAGACTTAAGAAGACTTTGGAAGACCTACTGAAAGACCTTAAGTTGATCTTCCGAAGTCTTCGAATGTCTTCCAAAGTTTTGACTCTGGAGATTTAATAAAACTGAGTAGTTTTCAAGATAAATGAGTGAATATAAGTTTGTCATGATATTCTTTGGTTTATGGTTTGATAGCTATATTTTAGTATTGTATATGTTTTTAGGGTTAGATTGTGGAATCCTAACATTTTTTTAAAAAAAGTAAAATTTAGCTGTATGTGTTTAGTTTTGCTTAGAAAAACACTTTATAAGTTTAATTTATAAGTTTAATTTAGTTTGATAAAGTTTTTGTATGTGATTTAGTTATATATATTTGACCTCTTTGATTTTTGGGTTTTGGAAGATTTATGAAGACTTAATAACAGTTTTCCGCTCAAAATTTAGCTTTTCCGGTTAAAATTCTAGAAAAATAGGTTTCTCGCTTAAATTAAGTCTTCCAGTGTCTTCTAAATTATTCCACGTAAAATATTCTAAATTCTTCCAGGAAAAATCTTCTAGTGTATTAGTTCTTAAAATAATTTATAAATTTCAAAAAAAAATATTTGATAGGGGAAAAATCATAATCATCTAACTATAGACATTTTTAAGTGATATAAACTTAGACTTAATAAAATTGATTTTTTTTCAACATTGATGAGTGAATCTAACAAAACATGATATTTTTTGGTTTAGGGTTTGATAACTATGTTGTAAACTTGTAGTATTATATGTGTTTTTAGGGTTAGATTGTGGAATCTTAACATTTTTAAAAAGTAGATTATAGCTATATGTGTTTAGTTTTGTGTAGATTAAAATTTTTATAAGTTTAGTTTAAACTTAATAAAGTATTTGTATGTGATTTAGTTATATATTTGATTTTGGGGTTTTAGAAGAATTATAAAGACTTAATAACAGTTTCCTGTTCAAAATTTAGGTTTCTCGCTTAAAATTCTATAAATTTAGTTTTTCCGCTTAAAATTAAGTCTTACAATGTCTTCTAAAGTCTTCTAGGGAAAATATTCTAAAGTCTTTTAGTAAAAGTTTTTTAGTGTATTAGTTCTTAAAATAATTTTAAATTTCATAAAAAATATTTTCATAGGGGAAAATCATAATCATTTAATTATAGACATTTGTAAGTGATAAAAATTTAGACTTAATAAAATTGAATTCTTTTCAATATAAATGAGTGAACGTAAGTTAGTCATGATAATCTGGAAGATTTTAGGTTGATTTAAGCTACATCTAGAATATGTTTTGGTGTAGATTTCATAATAGAAATCATAAAAGTTAATCTTACACCATGTTAATAATGTTTCTAATCCAACAGTTGCTTGACTTCATCTCATCTCTTCTCTTAACCATGTCTGCAATCTTATAAACCCAACAAAAATAAAAACATTTCTCTTCATTCACTCAAAACACAACATTCCATATTTACTGGCAAGGAATCTACTTCATAACACTTTTATGTCCCTTTCTCTTTCTCATCAATACCCGCAATCCACTACAAACATAACATCCAGATCCATCCTTACAATGGTACCTATATGCAGGGGCGGACCCAGTAAAATCCAAAAGGGGTCAGTTGACACCAGAAATAATGTCAAATAAATAAAATTGTATAGGATGTTTAAAGAAGTTCGTAGCAAAAATGGTTGTTCTGCACACTTTTGACACCACAAAAACTAGGGTTCAACTCCTTTTAACACCCATCTTTTTTATTTTTATGAAAATCATATATATGTGACCTCACTAAAATCAATCTCTAGCTCTGCCACTGCCTATATGAAGAAATGCTTAAACACTCTGATACCACAAAAACCAGAGTTCAACTCCTTTTAACATCCATCTTTTTTTATTTTTATGAAAATCATATATATGTGACCCTATTAAAATTAATCTCTGAATCCGCCACTGCCTATATGTAGAAATGCTTAAACCAAAATCAAGGTCTTGTTCTAACCAAACAAAACATCAAACTAAGAAATTAAAATTAACATAAAATGCAACAAATACAAGACTGTTAAACATGGAAACTTCCCTATTTACAATTATACAATCGATGATATTGTCCATAAATCGATCAACTCAACCTCTTCTAATGCAACATACAATACTAATGCTTCCGAAACACCCATCACATATTCTACACAAACTCCACCAATGTCCAACAACATACACATAACATATTCAACAACGTAAAAAATACAAAACACAATAACATAAGTAAACTTCACGCTCCAAAAATAAAATTTCATACAAAACTGTTTTAATCACATCTCAAGAGCATAGTGCAGTAACAAACCACTAGTAAAAAATAAATTGAAGTGATTAATTCAAAATTATATAAATGAAAATAACGATATATAAGAAATCGCATGCATATATATATTTTACAAAAGATCTAAATTGTACAACTCGTTAATAATTTATTTTTTATATTAATATGTTTTGAGTCATCCTGTAATTTGAATGTATAAAATAAATAAAATATTATTAAAAATTATATGTTCTTATTCTCCTTAAATCTTTATTTTGGATATAGTTAAGTTGGATTAGTCCAGTTACTCATTTTATGAGTGTATTGAGTTACATATATTATTTCAAATTGAAACATAAGTATAATTATTTTAATCTAGTTAAATCAAATCAAATTAGTTTTATTTATCGTTTAAATGTGCAAGTATTTTAATGATATTTTAATAATTTGATATATTTTAATTTTGTTGAAATATTAGAAATAAAGTGATGATCAATAGGAAGTTACATACACAAGGATAAGTATAACTGATAAATATTTGAAATCTCATGAACCCATATCAATGTTTACAATAATTGAGATATTTTATAAAATCTAAATAGTTTAATGCCTTATGGGTATATTAAGTTACACAAACATAAAGAAACATAAATTTAAAAGAAAACTAAACATGCAGAAAATCTAATTTTTAATAATGAAAAATATAATATTGACACCTCATTAAAGGTATATAATGTTCTGCTACTTCATAATTATCTTATTTTATCAAAATATGCTTACTGTAAACAACTATATTTAGTTGCCTTTTGAAATATCGCTTAAAATAAACAATAAAATTTTGTTGTTGATGACAGTCTGACAAAAACAATTGTGATTGTTTTGAGAAATCATAGTATATAAGTAAAATATAATGTATAACTAATGTATTTAATTTTTCTGTAATTGTAATATATTTATAGTCAACTACAGATTATGAAAAAATAAAACATATCAATACTAATTATAAACTATTTTTAGTCAGATAAACATATGTCGGTTTATGTTCCTTAATTTTTTATGTAATCATATAAGAAAATAGATAGATATAAAAAATTATTTCAGTTAATTTTAAAAATATATTTATATATTTTGTAAAATGTTTTAAAAAGAAGTAATATTCTTTTTTACTATTAAGATTCTCTTTGTGTATTATTTTATGAAATCACATTATATACAAATGTATTTTATTTTCATCTAAGAAAATTATAGATATAAAGAAAGTATGTTTATGTTATTCAAAATATATTGTAAAGGTAATATTACTATTTTGTTAACTTTTCCTTCTTAATTAAAATATATTATATATACATATATTTCGTTTTAAAATTCATTTCTAAACTTTATAAGTGTTTCTATTTATGTTATATATGTTATTTGGAAAATCTAAAATTAAACTAAATTGAAAATTTAGTTACTAGAAATTACTAAATAAAAAGTCAAAAATAATATTTAAATATAATATTTTAATTTAATAAAGATATCTTTGTAATTAACCTTCCTAAGAATAACGTGAACACAATGTAAAAAAATGACTTTTCAATAATATTATAGAGATATGTGAGTGCGGAGTGCCACAATAGCCATACCAGATCTTGTTTGTGTTATAAGTTTTGCATTTTTTTGTTTGAATGAAAGTTAAATTTTTTATTTATTTTGGGTTAAAGAAACGTTTTTTATTTGGTAGTTGGTGATTTGATTCGACAATAATTAAAGTATTTGTTAGTATATATTTAAATGTCGAATAATGTTACATTAATGCGTCCACGATCCCTCCATTGCACTTGAGACTTGCACACAAGTAAACGGATATAAGGTTGACTTTTAGGATTTATATCATTTGTATTTTGCTGTGAAAATACATACAGAACCAGATTCGTTAAGATTTGTCGCAGGTTGTAGGGAAAAATGTACATTCAGATGACAAACGGAGTTCCTCCACCGACGCTGGAGCAAAATTCTTTCGATCACCGGGTCAGTCTGATCACTCATTCTTTCTCAATCCTTTGATCTTGATTGTACGATTCTTTCCCAATCTTGATCTTCGATTACCTGCAATAGAACTCACACCACAAGCAACACAAAGATATACACAAAAGTAAAGAAGATGACACAGGGATTTGTTGACCCGGTCTTCACCGCACTTCCCCGGAAGGAGAAGCCGCTATATCTGACCGGAGCTGGGATTGAACCAGCAAGTGCACTAGAGCTTAGCTCGAATTGAGCTATGGAGATTACAACCTAGTCTCTTCTCTCTCTATCTCGATCTGTAACTTCCTTCCCGTTACAAAAGACCTTATCCTCTTATCTACTTTCCCCTTTAGTATTTATACTCAATACCAACCGTAAGCTGTTATCAAAACGACACGCTAGCTACCCGTTTCATTAACACCCGAGGACCTTTGGTTTAACTTAAACCAGACTCAATTGACTCTCCAATTGAACCGAGAGAGAAGAGACTAAACCAACTTACAAATACTAAAGACACATTCTTCAAATCTCCACCTTGTCTTGTATTTGCTCCACCTTTAAACCTCTAATGCCTTAAGATGAATATACCCATCTTCCTCATGAATTCTTCCATGACTCAACCTTCTGAGAAAACCCTCTCAGCTTCTGATCTCCTGAGCAACACTCGCTCAGCTGCAGGCTCCACCTGAGCCTACACCTTTAACTTTAGTTTCTTGTAACCCTCAGCAGCTCCAAAGCATCTCGAAGCTTGCCTATTGGTAGAACCTTGGTAAAAATGTCTGCAGTAGCAACTTTCACCACTTTAATGTATCCTGCTGATATAAGATCCCTTATGAAATTGTATTTGATCGCCATATGTTTGGTCTTCTCGTGAAACACTGCATTCTTGGCCAAAGCAATAGCACTCTGTGAGTCACAATAAACCCTCACAGCATCCTGCTTGAACCCCAACTCTCTCAGAAAACCTTGTAACCACATAGCCTCCTTCGCAGCCTCTGTTAGAGAAATATACTCAGCCTCTGTCGTGGACAAAGCCACCACCTTCTGAAGACTTGACTTCCAGCTAACCACATTTCCTCCTACTGTAAAAGTCATTCCAGAAATAGACCTTCTACGATCTAAATCTCCTCCATAATCTGAATCACAGTAACCTTCAACCACGAACTCTCCTTCCTTTGTGTAACACAACTTCACATCCTTGGTCTCTTTAACATATCTCATAATCCACTTAACAGCTAACCAATGATCTTTCAATGGTTTACTCATGAATCTGCACACTACACCAACTGCATAAGCCAAATCTGGTCTGGTTCCAATCATCGCATACATTAAACTTCCAACTACACTCTGATAAGGAACCATCTTCATCTTGTCTTGCTGCTCTCTGTACTCCTTGTCCGTTGCTGACCGAAGCTTAAAATGTATTCCCATAGGCGTCTGAACACCTTTAGCTTTATCCATCCCAAAACTATCAAGAACTTTCTGAAGATAATGACCTTGAGAAATAGATAACGTGCCCTTGACTCTGTCTCTAACTATATCCATACCCAAAACTCGGTTTGCTTCTCCAAGATCCTTCATCTCAAACTCTGTCTTCAACAATTCCTTCAACTGGCTCACATGATCCTTCACCTTTGACGCAATTAGAATGTCGTCTACATACAGTAAAAGAAAGACATACTGCTTATCCTTCATTCTCTTGAAGTAGACACACAAATCAAAATTGCTCCTGTTGTAACCATGCTTAACCATGACCTCGTCGAACCGTGTGTTCCACTGCCTTGGAGATTGCTTCAGACCGTATAACGATCTCTTCAACAGACAGACCTTATCAGGATGCTTCTTGTCTATATACCCCTCCGGTTGTTCCATGTATATAATTTCATCTAAATAACCATGAAGAAACGCTGTCTTCACGTCCATTTGCTGCAATTCCATTCCAAAATGAACTACCATGGAAAGAAGACACCTGATAGACACATGCTTAGCCACTGGAGAGAAAATTTCCTGATAATCTATCCCTTCCTTCTGACTATAACCCTTCGCAACCAGTCTTCCTTTATACCGAGGAGGCTCAACTCCAGCAACACCTTCCTTTCTTTTGAAGACCCATTTACATCCAATGGCCTTCTGAGACTTCACTCTGTCAACTAATATCCACGTCTTGTTCTTCATTAGTGAAGCCATTTCTTCGTCTGCAGCCTTCTGCCACAGGTCTCTATCTGGATCTTCCATCACATCTTGAAAACTCTTAGGCTCAGGTCTACCTGCATCCTCAACAACAAGATAAGCATAGCCTGCAATATCATCATCATGAGAGTATACCTGATAGTCCTCTAATCTGACTGGAGGACGTGTTTCTCTGCGACTCCTGTCTCTTGCTAATTGATAGTTGCTGAGATCATCTTCGTGTGAGTCCTCTGTCTCTCCTACCTGCTCTTCATCAGCATTTTCACTAGATTCCTGGTTTTCTCCACCTTGAACTTGAGAGCCTGTATCTCTTAAGTCACCTGCATCATCAAAACTCAAAGTTTGGTTAGTCAATAATCTAGTATTCACTTTATTACCTGAGACCTTTTCCTTTTCAGAACTCTTGAACATTGTATCTTCTTTGAAGACAACATTTCGGCTTATAACACATCTTTCATCTTCTATCACCCAGACTCTGTACCCCTTCACTCCTTCAGGGTAACCAACAAAGACCCCCTTCTTGGCTCTTGGATCTAACTTCCCTTCTGTTGAGTGTATGTACGCAATACACCCAAATCTCTTCAACCCTGAAATATCTGGAGTAACAGATGTCCACCTTTCTTCTGGTATGTTGAACTCAATAGCTGACGATGGAGTTCTATTTATGATATAAACTGAAGTTGCAGCCGCTTCTGCCCAGAACATCTTATCAAGACCACTCTCACTAAGAATGCTTCTTACTTTGTTCATGATAGTACGGTTTAGTCTTTCTGCAATGCCGTTTTGTTGAGGCGTGTATGTGCAAGTCTTGTGACGAACAATACCTTCTTCTTTACAGAAAGAATCAAACCGAAGATTACAGAACTCCAAACCATTGTCTGTTTGCAACCTCTTAACCTTCCTTTCAGATTGAACTTCAACCATCCTTTTCCACTCTACAAACTTCTCGAATGCCTCATCCTTGGTTCTCAAGAAGTATATCCACACCTTTCTAGACCAGTCGTCTGTGAAGCTGATGAAATACTGACTCTTGATTAAGCTCGGTGGAACGTTGGGTGAAACCCATAAGTCTGAATGTATATAATCCAGCTTGTTTTTAGTAACATGCTTCCCTTGACCAAAGCTCACCCTGTGTGTCTTTCCTATAACACAGTCTTCACAAAAGTCAATATCCTTTAACTTCTCTTTCTCTAAGCACCCTTTCTGAGCCAGAACATCCATAGCCTTCTGACCCACATGTCCAAGCCTGCTGTGCCACAACCGAGTATAGCTCGTTTCTGTTGCATCTTCATTCTTAGCTCCCACTGAGTTACATGAACCTGAAACTCTTGCTGATCCCTGTAGAATGTAGAGAGTATCTCTTTCCTTCCTTTGACCCTTCATTATAACAGTACAGCCACTGATCACCTTTAGAGAACCATTAGCTCCTTTAAACATACATCCCTTATTCTCCAACGTTCCCAACGATATGAGATTCCTTCCAATACTCGGCATGTACCTAACTTCATGAAGAACGAAGGTAGTTCCATCTTGATTTTCAAACCTTACTGAACCAATACCTTTTACCTCTGCACTCGAATTATTTGCCATCCTAACCTTTCCTGAAGCTACATCTGCAAACTTGATAAACACATCCCTTCTAGGAGTCATATGAAACGAACACCCAGTGTCCATTACCCACTCCACCTGATCCAAATTTTCTTGAGATATATTAATCTCACTCGCTATGAGACCTACAAGATCTTGCGCGTCGTCTCTAACCAACGCTGATTCTCCTTTATCTTGACCCTGGGATCTCTGCTTATTATTCTCTAACCACTTGTAGCACTGTTTCTTGTAATGCCCTTCCTTTCCACATATCCAACAAACCTTTTTCTTCTCTGTAGACTTTGACCTGGACCTGCCATTTCTTTGTTTCCCAAAACCAGAACTCCTGTTCTCTGATCTGCCCCTAACATAATGACCTTCCGAACTAGCACGTGACCCTGACTGAGACTTCAGTTCCCTCTCTTTAGACCTTGCAGAACTTGCAACATCATCTACCTTTATCACATCCCTGCTATACTTCAACGTTTCCTTAAGCTGATCATACTTCACTGGCAATGCATTAAGCAGTAACACAGCTTGAACTTCTTCAGGAACTTCAATACTGAGATGACTCAAATCACCTACAAGCTTGAGAAAGTCATCAATGTTCTCGTCTATGGTGCGTTGATCCTTCATCTTGAAACCATACAATTCCAGTTGTGCGTGAACTCTGTTAGGCAGTGACTTAGGCATATACAATGCCTCAAGAAGACTCCAAGTCTCTGCAGCAGTCGTGCACTTCTCAATCTTCCGTAATACATGGTCTCCAACGTTGAGGAAGATCATATTCATCGCCTTTTCACATCTTTCCAATCTTGATTCCTCATCTGCCAGAATCTTCTTCTTCTTTTCAAGATCTTGATCTTCTTCTTCTTCATCTTTTTCCTCCGTCTCTGCAGCCGGAGACTTCTCGTCAAGTACGTCCTTTAACCCCGATACGCTCAAGTAAGCGTACATCCTTCGCTTCCAGAGAGAGAAATCTCCGTTTCCATCGAATCTCTCGATCTCAAACTTATACTTCCCTGTCATCGTTGTTCTGTTTACTTTCGCCAGATCTGATCGAACCGCTTAACACCGCCGTTAAACCACAGCTCTGATACCAATTTGTACGATTCTTTCCCAATCTTGATCTTCGATTACCTGCAATAGAACTCACACCACAAGCAACACAAAGATATACACAAAAGTAAAGAAGATGACACAGGGATTTGTTGACCCGGTCTTCACCGCACTTCCCCAGAAGGAGAAGCCGCTATATCTGACCGGAGCTGGGATTGAACCAGCAAGTGCACTAGAGCTTAGCTCGAATTGAGCTATGGAGATTACAACCTAGTCTCTTCTCTCTCTATCTCGATCTGTAACTTCCTTCCCGTTACAAAAGACCTTATCCTCTTATCTACTTTCCCCTTTAGTATTTATACTCAATACCAACCGTAAGCTGTTATCAAAACGACACGCTAGCTACCCGTTTCATTAACACCCGAGGACCTTTGGTTTAACTTAAACCAGACTCAATTGACTCCCCAATTGAACCGAGAGAGAAGAGACTAAACCAACTTACAAATACTAAAGACACATTCTTCATTGATATTCCTTAATTTTGATCTTGATATATGTAGTTTTAATCTTGGACTCTTTTATATTATTTCTTGATTATGTATAGGTTGAAGTGCTTGAGAGGCAGAAAGAGATCGACGATTGGCTTCCGATTACTTCATCGAGAAACGCAAAATGGTGGAATTCTGCGTTTCACAATGTGACCGCCATGGTCGGGGCCGGCGTTCTTGGTCTCCCTTACTCCATGGCCCAGCTCGGATGGTACATGATTTCCATATATATATATATATATATATATCTTTCACCATGCAACTTTTATGCACAAACGCAATACTTAAACAAAATGTCACTACATTTAACATTTGATTTGAAGTTTGTACATGACAACCAATTAGTTTGAAACCTGAAAGAGATCTGCATACATTTTTTATATATTTTCGTTATCTATATAACCAAAAGTTTGAAATGTTACATTATCTTATTATATATGCCAGGGGTCCGGGCGTGGCAATACTGATACTATCATGGATAATAACACTCTACACGTTGTGGCAAATGGTAGAGATGCACGAGATGGTTCCTGGAAAACGCTTTGACCGCTATCACGAACTTGGCCAATTTGCATTCGGTGAACGTCTTGGTCTCTATATTATTGTCCCTCAGCAAATAATTGTCGAAGTAAGCTAAACTGATTCGTAAATGTCCCATCATTTTCTTATACAAGTCTTGACATTATAATTGATTCAACAAATTAAGGTTGGAGTATGCATAGTTTATATGGTGACTGGTGGACAATCGTTGAAGAAGTTCCATGAACTCGTCTGTCAAGATTGCTCACCAATTAGACTTCCTTTCTTCATAATGATATTTGCATCTTCTCATTTTGTCTTGTCTCATCTCCCAAACTTCAATTCCATCTCCCTTGTCTCTCTTGTTGCCGCCGTCATGTCTCTTAGGTATACATACTTATCACCATCAATTCCATCTTCCTTTTTTCATAATGAAAAGCATAACAAATTATAAAAAAAAACAATTATGGTGATTACTTATATATTAAATGAATACTATTATTACAATAGAGTACACACACTAATGAAGCAGTGAATAATTAGGTGAATTTTTTTTTTCATAATTGTATAAACTCGATTATATTGTGATGATAAACAAAGTAATGGAATCTAAAACGTGAAAATGTTATATCATTCATTATTTATGTCTTTGTAGTTATTCAACCATTGCTTGGACCGCTACAGCTGCAAAGGGCGTTCAGGAAGATGTTCAGTACAGCTACAAAGCAGGCACAACCGTGGACACATTGTTAAACTTCTTTACAGGGCTTGGGGGAATTGCATTTTCTTATGCAGGTCATAGTGTGGTGCTTGAGATCCAAGCAACGTTACCTTCTACAACAAGTAATCCTTCTAAAGGTCCTATGTGGAAAGGGGTCATGGTTGCTTACGTGGTTGTGGCTTTGTGTTACTTCCCCCTTGCTTTGGTTGGCTATGGCGTTTTTGGAAATGATGTATCAGATAATATATTGATATCGCTCAAAACACCAGTTTGGGCCATCGCATTAGCTAACCTTTTCGTGGTTATGCATGTCATTGGCAGTTACCAGGTCAGTCCAATAACTTTTACATGGGTTCATGCATGAATTTTCTCTGATCGATCGTATCAAGCCGGAGAGTACCGTTTTCTGATATGAAAACCAAGTCGATTTTTGGTATTCCATTGCTTCCGACAAAACTTTTCGCAAGAAATCTGATTTAGAATTATATAAATTTCAACGGCAGATATTCGCAATGCCGGTTTTCGACATGGTGGAGACATTCCTAGTCAAGAAACTTAATTTCAAACCCTCTTCAATTCTTCGTTTCATTGTACGGAATGTGTATGTTGGTAAGTACGTTAGTTTTGTATATATAGAGTCGTAAAATCTCTTACAAAGAATATATCTAAATCCGAAAAATGCTAACATTATTCTCTCAAAAAAATATGATTACGTAGATCTGTAATTGCAAAACATTAAAACATAGTAAATGAACTAGAACACTAGATTATATATTTTACTAATAATTTTTGTAAATTTTCTATGAAACTGCTAGGACAGCATTAACGATGTTCATTGCAATAATGATACCCTTCTTTGGCGGTCTACTCGCTTTCTTTGGAGGATTCGCATTTGCTCCAACAACTTATTTTGTAAGTTTAGATGTACTTATTTTATTATTAAATCTCTTTCAATTTCTTATGCAGATGAAGTTTTCATTTTAGTTATTATTTGGGACGCTTTATGATTTGTTCTGCAGCTTCCTTGCATAATGTGGCTAATTATCTATAAGCCAAAGAGGTTTGGCTTGTCGTGGTGGACGAACTGGGTAATGTGTCTTTTATTCTGCCAAACTGTTTAGTTCGTTAAAATTAAATTGTTAATTGATCCTAACAAAATTTGTAACAATGAGATTGGATATCTCTGTATGTAACAGGTATGCATAGTACTTGGAGTTCTTTTGATGATCCTATCATCAATCGGAGGATTACGGCAAATTATCCTTGAATCCAAAGATTATAGTTTCTTCTCTTGATTTGATTTCCCCTACTTCATATCCTTTTGTTGCCAATTTCATAGTGAGAAATTGTCGATTACATATTCATTTTACACGTATGTTTAAGGACACAAATTCAATAATTTAGCTAATAGCTAACAGGTATTGAAATTAATTTCTGCTCAAGTATCTTACATACTATTTTTAATAAAGAAGTATCTTACGTACTTATATATATGTATATTGTAAAAACATTTTAATTTCAATTATAAAATCTACCCCAAAACCATCTATTAAATTTAATTCAACCCTATTTTTTTCTTAGAGAATAAAAACATACTAACCTAATTAGATCCATACTTTCATCAGGCTTTCAATTCACTAATTGTTTTCTCTTTTCTTTCAACATTTCACTTTGGTGATTCATTTTGATGGAGAAGAATCCAAAATTTTAAACACGATAATCATTATGTAACAGCTGTTTTTGTGTAAGTATTTCTTGTATATTACAGGAGAGTGGTTATATATTAATTAAGAACCAAAATTAAGAAAAACAATCAAATGACACTTTTTTTTTTATATCAAAAGGCTGATCTATTACTTAACCTTGGATTTGAGAATCCAGACCGGAATAAAACAACCAACATACAAGAGTTCTCGATAAAAGGATCAAGCAGTTTTTGCTAGAGAATCGGAAATAGCATTATGTATCCTAGGCACATATAAGATCTTGAAGTCTGGGAAGCAAATCCGCAGCATCATGAGCTTTTCCAACTCCGTAGAGAAGCTTGGCCATAGGGATTTCTAAGCCTTGCTATCATCTCCTTACAATCCGTCCCAAAGCTCTGACATGGCGAATGTTGAAGCATCTTCTCCATTTCCCATCGTAGTGCTTCCAGCCCCGAATGTAAATCTGACTCCACCCTACTAAAATTGCGCATACCCATTAGCTGACAATTTCCCATGCTGTCATTCCAAACCCAACCGCAGCCACTAAAACGATCTGTAGATATCCAAGAACCGTCTACCATACAAATATGACATAGGCTTAAGGCCTGGCTTGCAACATCTATGATTCCTTGAGATGCCGCTATAACCTACTCATTAACTTGGAACCAGGCTTGACACTCACTCTCCGCATAGCGGGCTAGTTCCAAAGGATCTCTATTGATTCCTCTGAACAGTTTGTCGTTCCGAGATTTCCAAATATACCATATTAGCCAAGGATAAGGATCTCTGTCCAATTCCGGTTCCATTATCGCATTTTTCCTCTAGAAGAGATAATCCATATTCGCATATGTGCTCTGTAGTGGGAAAAGGTTTGGACTGGTAGGAGTAGAAGATAATGCCCAAACTTACATTGCAGGTGGACACTGAAAGATCGCATGTGTAACTGTTTCTTCTGGTTCTCCGCATCGGGGACAATGGTTATCACATCTCAAATGTCTGTAGTTTAAAGTGCTTGTGACAGCCATATGACCTGTTATTATTTTCCACATAAGATGGCATATCTTTTGGGGTGCCTTAACCTTCCAAGCATGTGCTTGGAGTTTTGTGATGCTAGGTTCTCCCACTATGCCATCCTCCTCCTTCATCAGTATATTCCGTGCAACCCAATAGCCAGATTTAACTGTGACTGTCCATTCCTCGTATAACTCCATACGTGTCCCTACGATATGTAGAACTAATAGCCATACTCCTTATGAGTGGAATATCAACAGCTTCCACGTAATCCGCTAACCGGCCCAAGTCCCAAGCCTTTGTTTCTTGATTAATAAGGTCGCTCACTCTCATGTTCGGGTGGAAAACCGGTGCAGATGGTGTTGCTGATCTCACATGGATAGTAGGGATCCATGGATCCTCCCATACTTTCACATCATATACTGAGTGTATTTTTTGTCTAACACCCAGCAACAGTAATTCCCGTGCCACTGATATACTAGTCCACACACACGATGGGCTACTGACAGTGAGCTGACGCAAAGGCGTACTCAATCTATAATACCGACCTCTCATAACTCGGGCTACCAAAGAATCTGGGTATTGAACCAGTCTCCATAACTGCGTAGCTAACAGCGCCAGATTGAACTCATGAATCATTCTAAAACCAATCCCTCCTTCCTCTCTAGATAAGCATAGTTTATCCCATGTTGACCAATGTATGTCTTTTTTTTGGTGGGTTCGAACTCCACCAGAACTATGCTATGGCACTAGAAAAGGCATCAAAGATCTCCAGCGGAAGTAAAAAGCAAGACATTACATAAGTTGGAAGTGCTAGGAGAATTGACTTAATCATAACTTCCTTCCCACCTTTTGATAACCATCTACCCGTCCATCCATTTACTCTATTCCCCAGCTTGTCCTTTAAGAAGGCAAAGAGCTTGCATTTGGATCCACTAATATCCTCTGGGATTCCTAAGTAATTGTCCATTCCTCCTTCGTTCTGAATCCCAAGTGTGTCTTTAATCTCTTGCCTTACATCATGTCCAATTCTCTTACCAAAGAGTAGAGATGATTTGTCAAAATTGATACATTGTCCTGAAGCTTGTCCATATTTTCTGACCACTTTCATAACTTCTTAACATTCACAGGGCTCCGCCTTGCAAAAGAACATGCTATCATCAGCAAAGAGAAGGTGAGATACTGAGGGACACGCACGCGTGATGCGCATCCCCGTTATCTTTCCTTGATTCTCTGCGTGATTTAGAAGGCTAACGAGCGCTTCCGTGCATAGAATAAAAATGAAAGGGGACAGGGGATCGCCCTGCCTTAGTCCTCTCTCTAGAAAAATATTCCCTCTTGGTTGGCCATTCATAAGGACCTTATACGTTACTGATGTTACACATCGCATTACCCAGGTTATCCAGATTTCCGAAAAACCCATCTTTCTCATGGTAGTCCCGATGAAGGACCACTCCATGCGATCATACGCTTTACTCATGTCCATTTTAATGGCCATCATCTTAATATGTCCATTTGGTTTGGTCAGTAGAGCATGAAACAGCTCCTGAGCAATCATAATGTTGTCAGATATCTGTCTCCCAACAACAAAGGCAGACTGGGTTTCAGAAATCCGATCAGGTAAAACCTTCTTTATCCTATGGCATTGGACCTTAGAGATTATCTTGTAGCAAACATTGCATAGGCTGATGGGCCGTAGCTGAGACATTTGATTCGGCTTATTTACTTTCGGAATGAGACATATATTGGTGTCATTTAGACCAGTAGGTATTGTACCTTCAAACAAGAACTGATTAACCATAAGAGTTAAATCATCCTTTACAATATCCCAAAATTTCTGGTAGAAAAGCGTTGTCATTCCATTCGTTCTTGGAGCTTCTCTGGATGCATTGCAAAAAGAGCTAATTTGACCTCCAATTCAGAAACGTGGGATGTGAGATTCTCATTATCTGCTGGCGTAATGGTTGTAGACACCTAAGATAATGCTTCCTCTATATCCTCAGGATTTGATGATTGAAAGATGTGTCTAAAGTAATTTGTAGCAATGGCTACCAATCCTTCCTCTTCTTCTACCACATTCCCATCCTCATCTAGTAATTGTGTGATCCTATTCCTTGCTCTTCTCTGCTTTGTGAGTGCGTGAAAGAATTTAGTGTTTCTATCTCCCTCTCTTAGCTAAAACACCCTACACTTTTGCTTCCAAAACATCTCCTCCGCCTTAAGAGCGTCAGACAAATCCTTTATAGCTGCCGCAATCTCTTCTGTAGTGGCATCATCATTTGAAGATAATTGATCTACTTTTTCTTTCAACTCCTCCACACTCTTTTCCGAATTCAAATTATGTTTTCTTTTCTAGTCAGATAAGGCTTGCTGGCAACTTACAATGTGCTCCACAATACTTGCATCTGGTGCAAGGCCTAGAGATTTCCAACCCTCCAATATGACTTGTCTGAGCTCCTCATTATCAAGCCATCTCTTATCAAATTTGAAGTTTTTTGATCTTCGTGGTTTCTTTTTAAGATATCTGCCAGGATCGGACGATGATCCGATCCCCATAGTCTCATATACTGGACTTTTGAATGAGGGAACTGTTCATGCCAGCCCTCATTTCCAACTGCTCTATCGAGACGGCATCTAACCGTATTCCTCCCTGCTTTATTTCCCACCCAGGAAAGCATGTTTCCTGTAAAGGGGAACTCCAGCATACCACAATCACTCATCATTTGTTTGAAAGGTAAGAATGAACTGTCTGTGCGTCGTCTACCTCCTTCCTTCTCCTCACGACATGTGATTTCATTAAAATCACCTATCATAAACCAAGGTCCATTTCTTGTTGTTGAGAAATGCGTAAGACGTTCCCAGACTAAATCTCTACGTTCTAGTACAGGATCCCCATAAACAAATGTCATATAGACTTTTATTCCATCAATGACTGACTCAATGTCAATCATTCTGTTATTTGAAAATAAAACATTAACTTGAATCCATAAAATATAAAGCTAAACTTCCACTAAGGCCAAGTGGCTCAACGGTAAACAAACGATCAAATCCTAAATCGGCCCGACTGTCTTGCAACAGCAGCCTCCTATTCTTCTCTCAGAGAGAAACACAAGTCCTGAGCGATGCTTCTTACACATCTCCATAAGGCGTTGAACTGTGAGGTTTCTTCCTATCCCTCGACAGTTCCAACTTATTGTTCTCATTGATGATTTTGGGATGGGTTATTGGATCCCATCAAACCACCATCTTTACTTGTGTTTCCTTTTGTTTCTTTGCATTATTCTGATAGTTGCGTGTCTTCTCCTTCTCACCATTGAGCTTATGAGACGAAGATCTAGCTGACATCAGCCGCGGGGAGCCTCGACGGAGGAATTCTGGCTTTGTAACTTGATTACCCAGGTGGGCAGTCCTACGGTGTCCATTCCTTGAGCTCCTGTGCCTCTTGGTAGTCGGCTTACTCTTTAATATCCCAGCCTCTGAGCCGGCAATTGGAGCATTGTGCAAATCCCTCAACTCCTCTCCCAAGAGATCATCATCATCCACATCATCAACATCGTCACAAGCATTAGAGTTAGTGAAATCTTCTTCATTCGCCTCATTAGCTTCCATATCCGTAAGTGCTCCAATAACCTACTCATTTTCACCCACCACCTCATTATGCTCAAAGTTAAGCAAACGAGCTACAGCCTTAGTGCGTATCGTGAAATTGTCTTCCATTGTTAGCTGTTGTATCACTGGTGAAACAACTACGCTAGCTACTCTCCTATGTGGATGATCCGAGCTAGGATTAATCTCCACATCTTGCTGGTGCTCTCAATCCTCAATATCAAGCCTGGCCGTAGAGTTTGCGGTTTGTTCATAAGGAGCTAAACGTTCATTGTTAACTCGAACCACATTCAGTGGATGCTTGTGATGCTCCCTTGACCTATCTGATTTCTTCTCTCTCCAATACTTGTTGTGCTTTCGATCATACGGACTGTTGGCATAGCACGAGGCACGAGATCGATCCTCACGTGGTTTGACATGCCTGTCTCTAATTATACGGTCAGTGTGCTTATGTCCACGATGTTCATCAATATCCAAATAGGGGAAATCCTTATGAGAATCCCCTCTTGACCCTGAAGAGTACCGACCTTGCATAGTGTCTACTCTTGACCTTTGATCTCCAAAACGGGACGTGTCAAAAGGCCCACGATGGTCTGTATCCCCATTCCGACCTTCATCTCCATGGTGATCTCTCAAGTGAGAGGGCTGAACTTGCGCAAATACTCCACCTCTCGCTGGTTCAGGCCGCATGACAGAAGATGTAGTTGGGAAATACCCTTCTCATGGGACATCATTCCACAAATCGTACAATGTTTGAACAACTTGTCGTACACAATCTCAATAGTTATTTCCTCACCCTCTGGGCAGTGCACCTTCCTTTTGAACTTCAGTGGCCTCCTAGAGTCAATGTGTATAAGCATTCGACCCTCGGTGAGCTCTAATGTATCCACAAAGCCCAAGCGCCCACCTATATCTCTCAAGTTCCGATCGGTCCATAGGTGGAGAGGCATACCAATCAATTGAACCCAAAATGGTATAATCCAAGGGTAATCATCGTGCACTATTGGTTCCCAACGTACCAATACGAACATGCAGAAATTATAATGGAAAGGGCCCATGCGTAAGACAGAGTTGAGATCCTCCTCGTTAGGAAAGTTGAGTAGAAACTTGCCATTCCCCAAATCAATTGCAGTAATTTTATCTTGTATTCCCCATTGCGCAGGCATCGTCTGCAATAACTTCTCCACATTTTGCTTTTTGGGATTTAGAATCTTGGTAATAAGATACATATGATACTCTTTAATCACAAAGGCATCATCTTGTTCAGTAAGTTTTATAGACTCATCATCATCCTCATATAGAACCCCTTGGCCTTTTAGATCTGTCATATGAACAGACTTTGAGCGGTTAAACGATCCCATAGAATGGTATCGGGCAGAGAATCACAAGTCCTTTGCGATCAAGTGATAGTAGACCGTCATGGTATCCAGATGTAGATCCGGTGATATCAGATTTTTGGAATAAGAAAGTGATACACTTGTGAGTCTCAGTATATCAGCAAACGTTTCTGATACTTTCAATACATCGAAGAATGTAGTGGTTTAGGGTGTCTTCTCTTCAATGGATGAAAAGCAGAGCGTGTACAGATCGTCTCCCAGGTGCACAAGGAACAATGATCCCTTGTGATGCTAACTGGATCGTCGGGATCCCGTCTAGAAGCCAAAGAACAAATGTCCCTTGGATTGAACAATACACAGAAGAGCGTGTTAGCCAAGGAGTAGATCAGGATCCTTTCATTACTTGCCGGAGACGCAAACTGATTGATGACGATTTCCTGATCGGTACAGGTCACCACAAGGAGTGTCGTAGTCTCCCTTGCGGTGATGATAGGGCCGTTGAGGTTGCAGGGATTGGAGATCTGTCTCAGAGATGGAGAGATCTCGAAAGCACCATCAAATCGCCGTCAGAGAGGATGCTAGGGTTTTTGGTTCTTGGGGAGTGTATCAAATGACACTTTTAGCAACTACTTCATGGCTTTACATATATTATATAAATTTCATAATATATACTTTATAACAGAGGTACATAAGGTAATCAATACATCCAGTTCTAATGCCATCAGTATAAAAGATTTATCACAGTATCACATGATTAAATCAAATGCACTTAAATTTAGCAAAAAAAAAAAATCAAATTCCCTTGATCATGGCTAAAATTAAAACTAATCTTATCATATCGTTACATATCATTAATTAACATTGTCCCTTCCATGTATCACACATCAATTTCAACTTTATATTGTTGTTTTATGAGAAGAGTCTTAATTTTCAAAAAATTACGTTATGTTATATAAAAAACTATAAGGGTGGGGGGTATTGCGGTAAGAATTCTAGAGGAATTATTAAATTCTAAGATTCCCTTATTATTGATTTATGAATTTTTAAAATCTAAGTAGAAGTCATTATATCTTGGATGAGAACTTTTGAATTTCACTCAAAATTCTTTGTTATTGAAAATTTTTAGTTTTCATTGATTTTAAGAAACTACACCTTTAGTAAAATCCATTTAACACGTCACTCATTGATCCACAGCCAAAAAAATGTAGGTTTGGTCATTGTTGGGATGCAAAATGGTAGTATACATTAACTACATTTGAGCGGACCTGAGAAAAAAAAGTGGGCCTGAAGATATGAACACAGACCAAACTTTGATATGACTGAGGATGGAACAAACTAATGGTGATGGGCCATGTTCAAAATCTCGGGAAGATAGCCGATTAATCGCCCGGCTAGAGGCTGCGTAGCAAGTCAACGCCGCGACTAAAGCCAAATCGCCCAAGCTACTCGGTCGACCAAGTAATCGGCTCATGAGGCGATGAATCGGGGTTTCAAACCGATTTTATTCGCCTAAGTACCGAATAAATTTTGACTACTTTGTTCAATGTGGATCTTTTATAATACAAAGCCCATTTCTAAGTAAAGACTCAATCTATCTAGTGCTTCTTTGTAAAATTTCTTGCTAACACTAACCGATGTGGGATCTTTTTGACTTGTCTTGTTACAATTTTCGCGAAAATATAATAGCACATTACCGAGAATTGAACTGTGGGCCTGAAATCGTGACATCAACATCACACGCCACCTCACCACCGCATCTTATGATGTTTTTATATGTTCTTTTATATTTATATCTGCATTTTGTGTATATATATTTATATTTATAATAAAATATATAAAAGCTAATCTCCGTCTACTTCCTGATTAATCTCTGATTTTTTACTAACTCGTTAGGCGTGATCAAACCGTCCGACTAACGCCTAACGTATTTCCGAACACTGGTGATAGGTGATGACTATAGGAAGAGTCGACATAATCACATTTATAAAACTATTTAATATTTAAGAGACGATATTTTCCTGGACATGAACCATAAGATAGCCTTTATTTTCCATTAACTACCAACTTAACCTGATAGAAATTAAGCTTACCAAATTGTGCATCAACACTATTCTTTCCCTGGATATAGAGTTGAGAGCTATATCAGCTATAGGGCTTGAATTCCTTTCTCTGTGTCCCAAACAGTGTGGAAATGTTGTTTTTATTGAATATGTTTTCCATATACAGCTTAATTGTGATACCCAAATCTTCCACAAAATCTGGTAAGTTAGAATACACTAAATTAGGTAATAATAGTATATATATATATATATATATATTTAATTTGTTAGGGACCTAATTAAATGATCTAACTATGACTTCTCAATAGTAGATACAAAGTAGGACTCTAAACTAATAGATTAGATGGAGATAGATAAATGCAAAGAAGATAAGAACATGAATAATGATATTAAATTAAATGTAAAAGTGAATTGTTTTTACCATTAATAAACCTAACTTTAAGTATTTATTGTTTTTTCTTATTTTATGAATGTATTTCCTAAATTATTATTACTAAAATAACAGCTAAATAGTTTAAGAAAATCAATTTTGGATCGCTCTCATATGTAAATACTTAGTCTTCGCTTTCCATTGTTTTGTTTACTCATCTAATCTATTAAAAGGTAAGTACATTTTGTATTTAGCCATGCGTTTTTTTGAATAATTACCATTCAATGCCACTGCCTTAATAATAAAACATCGATCTAACCTATTTTTATTTAATTAAATTAACTTTCAAACGAATAAATATATAGCTGGTTTATTCCTATTAATAACAATTGACATCCACTTAAAATATTAAAACATACAATTAAACATCGACATGATAAATGGTTTCTAAATTAATTTCAACTAAAATATTCTTGAGTTCGTCACAACCAACTTCGAATTATAAATGTCATTCCCTAGCATTGTTTCACGGTCGAAGGAAATTTATCTTAAAAATCAAATTTAAATAACAAACTCACACAAACATAATTGATAAAATATTGCTGATGTCTACATATTACCTATATAACATTGTTTTGATTATTGTATTTTGTTTATAACTTTGAAACTAAACCGGTTAATTGGCTTACACAAAACTTATGATTCTTTAAAAGTTACGATTCTTTAAAACTTATGTTTAACATTATCAATTATCAAACTTACGATTCTTTGATAGAGTCATGACTATTGTCAGTTACATTCACATTTACTATAAGTTTTTTATATAAAACTTTTTGAATAATGTCAAAATCAATATTCTAAATTATATCTTCACTATAAATCAATATCTAACTATATTATGTCTGAATAAGCGTGAATCATCAAAAAATTTAAGCTTCTTAAAAATTGTTTTTTAACAACAATTGATTTATATTTTATAAAATACTCTTTAAATATTTTTAAAATTTAATCATGCCTAAAATCAAGCAATATCTTTATATTAAATACATAATTAAGCGTTAAAATCACCAAAAATCATTCTTAATTATATCAAGTTTCTGTTATATGGTAACCGAGTATTTAAAAAAAAATATTCTTAATTATATTACACTTAACAATCAAGCAATATTTTACTATTACTCTAAGTATTAAATATTAAATATCCATTTGATCTGTTTATACTATATTAAGTGCATTAAACTACTATAGATCTCAAAATGGATTTATATTAGTGAAAATATATGAATAGTAAACTATTTGAGTGACTGATATATGTAATACAAAATAGAACATGAAAAAGATATATATTTGACCGACATATGATATATTTTATACAGAGATACAATAGTGTTTTTTTTTGTAATAACAATTGATTCAATATATACTCAATAAATATATATCTAACATGATCCAATAATGCAATATATGGTCGGTACGATAAACTAAAGAGTTCAAATGCAACTATTATTTTTTTTGTTTCAAAATATTCATATAATATCATAAATCAAATATCCGTGCAGGCGCACGTGTCAAAATCTAGTCTACATAAATTTACCTAGAGCTTTTCTTTAATCTAATCCACAACAGTTTATTTTCTTTTCTTCCTCACCTATAGGTGATTGAATCTGTACCAACAAAGCAATGAAGGATTGAATTTAATTATTTTTTACCCAATCGAGTCTTCTATATATGCTGCTTTCACTTGCGGAATTTAAATCCTTTCTAAACACACAAAATCAATATATTCAAAATCCAAACCAGCTATAAATGTTAATATCATAGGGAAAATCTTTCTTAGTCCCTCCATACGTATGATAAATTCTGAATCTTTATTATACAAATAAGATATAAAAAGTAAAACACACAAAATCAATTAGCATATAA